CGGCATCGGCTTCGTCGCCTTCACCTGCCAGCGTCAAAGCCCCCTTCGCCCCTTGCCATGGCGTAAATTGTAACAGTGACCCAAATAAAATGCGGCGACCGAAAAGACCGGTAATGTAATAGTGAATGTGCAAGTGCTTCCACTGCTGACACTCGCTCTGTACATGCATGTATATGTATATACATATATGTATTTCTCTGCACATACATAGTTGTACGTATTTTACGCATGCAATTCTAATGGGAAATTGTTTTTTTTTTATTGTTGTTTTTGCAAAACCAGTATTAAAAGAGGCGATCAGAGCGCGTGACAGTGATGCGCCAACTGCATATCGTGTCACGACAATCGCCAGATACGTTTGCTATCGTAATGGCAATCAATTAGTAAAGCTGCGTATGCAGCTCACGCATGTGCAGCAGCAGATTTATTACAAACTTTATCTATTATATAACTGTTTGTGATTTATTGCAAAGTGTGGCAGACTAAAATAGCTAAAGATATGTGCAAATTACAGTTAGCATCGATTGCGTTGCCTTGCATTGAATTAATTACTTCTATGTGTGAACAAAATCTAACTAGTTCATTTTATGTAAACTGCATACCAGGCATTTGTGCATGCAGCTCTGTAAGCAATTGCACCATCGAGATTGTTATCGATTATCGATAAGCTAAGGCCGGCTTTTGTCGTTCAAGCAAAGTTTACAATTTTGTCGCTTTGGCAGTGAAATAATAATAAAAATAACTATTTAAATAAGTTTAATGTGCCAACTGTGCAATGTGCCAACTGCAGTTAAATATGGCTGGTGGGTGTAATGTGTTGCATTTGCTGCTAACAATGCCGCGGTCAGCTGGCTAGTGCTTGTTATTGTATTTATTATTGAATTAATATCTGGAATCTCTCTTTCTATCTCACGCAGCCATCTCTCTGATCGTATCGCAACAAGAAAGGTAATCACAGTGTCAACCACGAGCCGAGTGCGTTCTGCGACAAACAGGTTGCGCAGCGACACCAAAAGCGGGGCTCCAGCCGTTGGTCAAGCACACACAAACAACTCACACACACACACACACACAGATGTAGTTATTAAAAGATATCATCGTATGGGACATGGCTGTGGTGGTGTTTGCGCCAGTTTCGTTTCTGGCCTGCTTCGCTCTGCTTTATTGTTCATGCATTGCTGGTAAGTACATTATTCCGTTTTGTTTTCATTACAACTCTTATTATTATACTTATTATTATTATCTTACGCTTTTTGTGTGGCACTTTTCTGCCAGGTCATTCAAATTCGTTGGGGCCTTGGGGCATGATAAGAACTTTGCTTTGTGCCCATGTAAATGATTATTATTATTTGTATTGTTTTTGCACAATGAAACGGTTATGGTAAAGTGAAAAATTTGTGTGTTACAGAAGGGTAACTGCGGCGGGAGGGTAAGGGGCTTGGCAAACGGCTTTTCTCCGTTTTCTGAAATGACTAAGTGCAATTGATTTAGGATGTGAATCTGCTTCTGCCCTAACTTTTAAGTCAATACAAATGTGGCAAAAATTAAAAATAAAATATGTTTGAACATCAAATCAAATATGCCAGATGATCGCAAATCTATAGCTAAATAAAAAGAAGAGTATTGTCCGTGTGTGTGTGTGTGTGTTGAGTGTGTGAACGAGCAGTGAAAGTTGTCGGCCGCAATAAATGACATCATTTTGGCAAAAAGCCTCATTTCCAATCGATAACCAAAACATTGAGAATGCGACTGGACGCGACTGCACAGTCAGCTAAAACTCTTGACAAAAGACAAACAAAAGTTTTTTGTTAGACTCTTTAATGGATGCACACGAAAGAGTTCGTAACAGACAGACAGACATTTAATGCCAATGCTGAATTCGTGCGAAAATAAAAGAATATGTGGTGTCATACAACGGAAGTAGTAGCTGGCAACAGTTCCCAACAAAAGCAACGGCAGCCAATCGTCAGCGAGGCGCATTTCACTTTCACCGCCAAACATGTCAAAACAAATTGAATGTTTGCTATGTATTTCCTGTTAGACGCATCCATAACAAAACTCTTGCACTCGCCAAACTGTGTGGACAAGTCGATAATTTGTAATTGCTGCTTTGTCAATAAAAGGAAAATATGGCCACAGAGCTGGAGCACTTGAACAATTGTTGATGAGCTTAAAAGATAAACTAAATAGCATACAACAAACTAGTCTGAGTACAAATGAGTATACTCGTAAGTACTCACAAGTACTCATATGAGTCCATATGAGCACGAATGACTACTCACAGACTCACACACTCTCATTTAAGCTATGCACTAATAGTTCCGCGCTACTCTCCAACGTAGGAAGTGCAACTAAATTGCCATCATATGATATTTATGAGTACGGTTTGTTTGTGTGTGTGTCTCTTTCGCTCTCTTGGGTGAAATGCTCGCACTCGGGCACTTGATGTTGATGATGTGTCACAGTTTTTAATGCGATTGAGTTTAAGTTTTATGATGTGGTAAACGTCTGTGGGAAAATTTGTGCACCCCGCTGCCCAAACAAAATGTTGAAAGAAAGTCAAAAATGTCGCTTTCACATTAATTGCAAGCAAGGGAAATATGAAATGAGATGAAACAACGTTGCGTATGCGCAATTTGCATAAATTGATAACAAATAAAAAATACCGCTCAAGTGCCTGGTCGAGAGCCTGCTTTAAACAATTAACCAAACACCTCTAAAAGCCAAACAAAAGAGTTTTATGAATTGCTTTTTGAGCATACTAATTTGCCAGGAGAGAGAGGCAAAAAGAGACGGAGACGCTTATGTGGAGCATTTGACCGCACAGCGGTAAAACGTGATCTCGAAATTATATCGATGCCAAAGCGACACGGAAAATTGAACGACAACCAGCTGAGCCGAACTAAACAACTGACTGACTGACTGCTGCTGCTGTTGCTGCTGCTAGCGGCTGCAAGTTGTGCTGTCTTCAGACTGCAGTCTGCAAGTCTTCCAACTCTACAGCTTCCTGCCCGTAGGCTAGCTGAGTGGAGTGAGCCGCAAATTACCGCAAACTCAACGTCAACTGCAGGCCGACAAGTGCACAGACGCTAACTGGCACACGCGGCGATCAGAACCTGTATAAGATTTGCTATTGTTGTTGGTGTTTTTGCTGTTGTTGTTGTTGTTGTTGTTGTTGCTGTGGCTACTGGCCAAGACATTTTCATTTCGCACGCGCAATCAGTTCGGACAGCTCGGACGCGGGTTTTCCTTTGGTGTACAAATAAAAATTGAATAGAAATTGAAAATTGTTTTATGCTTGTAACTTTACTGCAAGAGTCACACAAACACATACACATACACACATCTGTTGGTAATGATATATTGTGTGCATGATTGGCATTTGCTGTCTCTGACCTGACGCAGCAAAGTTGTCCGCAAAACGGAAGCACTGCGTTTTCTTTTCTACCTGAGCCAACCTACAAAAGTGTTTGTTCAATGATTTGATGATTTGAATTCGTGTGTGTGTGTGTGAGTGTGAGTGTGTGTTTGGCAAGAAGTTTTCACAGCGTTTGCTGCACAAACAAACTGCAACTGCTGTTAAACTCTGCCATGGGGCAACTTGAGCTTAGAGTTTAATAACCCGAGCATTGCAAAATATATTTCCATATATATGCATATATTATTGTGTTCTAATTTAAATTTATACTTAAGTATAAATTTTATTTTGTGTTTAAGTGTTTTGGAATCGTTGTGAAATTTCGCATATTCATAAATTAATTATCTCCACATTTTTACTTCGAGTTAATATGGTTTTTTTACGCTTGCGCTATTAAAAACACTGCTTTAGTTGAATTTCTCTGATTTCATTTGTTCGCCATTTATAAATAAGAATTAAGTAAAAGCTAAAATAACGGATTGCATAGAGGAATGCTTAGAAGAAACCTGTTTAAATATGTTATATTATATGAAGAAACTCTTCGAAATTGATGCCCTTTGCAATATCTTAACAACCCATAGATTACTTAAAGGCTTAACACACAACTTGGGGCTTTACTCAGGAAGTCGTTCACTACATTGAAATCATATTAATATGCTCTTTAAGCTACAGTTCGCTGTGCGACCAATCGATTGGTAATTAAACGTGCCACATAAATAATAAGCGCGCAAATGAATTATTTTCTGACACTCGTAAAGCTTTTGTTCAAGTTTGCCGCTTAAGTCTTTCGTTTGTTGATGTCGCTTTGAACTAATTCAGCACACATAAAACCTCAAGCTCAACTTCGAGGCAAACTCAATAGCTGTGCCAGTGCCTTCGATTCCAGCTAATAGCTTGACACATTAGAAATTTGTTTCACTTTTTAAATCGGCAACAATTAACACGAAAGCAGCTTGCAGAAACGTTAAAAACTGTCATAAGAAAGTGTGTGCAGGTATTTGTGCGTATGTGTCTGTGTGTGTGTGTGTGTGACAGACAGATGAGCCGCATGTGCTCATCCTCAGTGCTTGTTTGAATAGCTAAAAATGGCAAATATTGTTGTGCGTGTGTGTGCCCGTAATGTAGCATAAAATGAACCAAATAATTGTCAAGTGCGTTGCGCTTCTGCTTGTGGTGTGTATGTGTGTGTGTGTATTTGTATGGAAAGTCATTTTCTGTGCCAAAGTTTTTCATGTGGAATTGTTATTGACACAAAGGCACAGTTTATGTTGGCTTTTATTTTTTTTCTAGCACTGTTTTGCGCTTTTCGTTTTATTTTTTTTTTTTTTGGCCATTGTCAAAGACCAGCAGCAGAGGCTTTCACTCGCAGTGGCAGCAAAGTGTCGAAGTGACACGCTTCTTCGATTTGTCTCAATGCGAACAGGCCGCAAACATGAGCTAGCAATTTGCCAAATTGATTTTCATTCAATTGTTCGGTTTATAATTCTTGCACAGTTTTCTATTAACAGTAGCTTTCTATGCAATTGTACTTAATATACTATATATGGATATATTTATATCTGTGGAATGGTCTGTCACTTACCGCCGTTCGTTTCAATTGATGATCTAAATCCACTTGTTGTCTGCACAAATAATGCGCCTATTATTATTAATGTTGTTAAAGCGTTGGAAAGTAGTTGCCGTTTTGTTTTTGTTCTTGTTGTTGTTATCGTTTTGGCTGATGCTATTGGTGTTGTTCTTGTTGTCGCGCTTGTGCGCGACGCTAACGCTGACGCCGGCATAACCCACATAAACATGTTTGCGCTGGTCTACGGCGGTCGTCGGTCGTTGGTCGTCGGTCGTTGATCGTCACTGGACACTATTCCGGCTAGACGGTTCGTCTCGGCTGCAATTTCCACTTAGTTGAGGGTTTTAATGTGGGGACAGTGCGAAAAACAATTACCAACTGTTGATGTTGTAATTGGAAACTAAGACGCGAGTCGCGCGCGCGCACGCCACACCACAAAATGTACCGCTACAGGCAAAACAAAAGACTTAGGCAACGAACGCGTTTCATGCACGACTCTTGAAGCTCTTTTTTGTTTTTTATTAAAATTAAATCGAAAGAATTCTCTGCTCAACAACAAATTAAACACAATAAATTATTTAATGCTTAGCATTCGTTTTAGGTGGCGCACTGTTTTTGATATTTTATGTTGAATTATTATTTATTGGCGAATTTAATATAGTTCAGCACTTCAAGAGTTGCTACTTGACCATGTCAAGCGCCATGCGTCCGGTCAACTGAACGTTCCGCGTGTGTCTGATTGTCAGCGTTGCCCGTTTGCCAGCGCTGGCCGAGCAGATAACGGACCTTTGCCACTTTTGTGTGGCAGAACTTTCACTTTAGCGCGCGAGAGCAATACCACGAGCGAGCGACAGAGAGCGAGAGAGTGAGAAAGAGCGAGCGAATGTTAGAGAACTGTTGAGTGAGAGAGCGCACGCTTGTACGTGCGAGTATTTGTATGAGGCGCGAGCCGCTTAAATGGTAAACATTTCTAATTCGGCATCTACTTGGCTATATTACTGTTAACATCTTGTGCTTTCTCTGTGTGTGTGTGTGTGTGTGTGTGTGTGTGTGAGAGTGTGTGTGCCTGCTGTGTGTGTGCGCTCCCAACGTCCGCACGCGTGCGCGTTTCAAACTCAACTGAAACGGTTTACAGCCCCGACTTGCGGTTAAGAGCTGCACAGCGTCTGCCAGTTAACAGACATGTAACATAACAGTCTGTTAAGCGCATGTTATGCGGCCGCACATAATTGCAATTTGACAGCGTTGACAGCAATAGATTTTTCCAGGGCCCGCTTTCGCCTACTGGGCACACGATTTACGTGCCGCGATATTTGCATTCGATATTCAGCAAGGTTATCGGCCCGCTGCTGCAGATCCGTTCGCAGCCAATAACAAAAGACTGCAAGCCACAAACTTGGCAATTAGTGCACTTAAAATTGCTAACAAGCGCAGCAATAACTGTCATCTGCGCACGTATGCATGTGTATGTGTGTGCGTTTGTGGGCCTCTAACCTGTCGTTTGGCATTTCCTTGACCCAAATTTCACTGACTTTAGTTTGTCAACGTCTTTGGACACGCCGCTGCAGCCGCCGCCGCTGCAATTGCCGGGGCTTGGCCTAGCAAAAAAAAAAAAAAAAAAAAAACATTAGCATAGTCGGAGTTCCAGCTCGAGCCGCGCTGAGCCGGTGCCAGGGCCGGGCACTTGGCTGGTCAAGCGTGCAGCTCCACCAACACGATCTTTGTGTAGAATTTCACTTTCGTTATTGTCGTTGTTGCTGCTGCTGTTGTTGTAGTTGTTGTTTTGTGATTGTTTTCTTTTCGTGTTTGGCTTTTTGGTTGGCTCTTGCGGTCAGCTCAGCCAGCGGCCGCAGCATAGCCATTGAAATGGAAAACGTTGCGGCTTATGGCTTGCCATTTGGTTATGCCGGGCACGTGGGTGGCGCATAGCCGTTTATCTTAATGGCCAGAACCACAGCTCGGTGTACTTTCACACCTCTTCGTCGTTAGCAAATTCTGCGTTCCCAGGCGCATCATTAGCCTCAGCTCGGCAGAGATATTACGACATTCGACCAACGTAAATGACTCGATTATAATTTAAATGATTTTAGCCAAGGTAAATTAAAACACAAACAACTTCCAAATGAATCGCTTTCACCTGGACAAAAGCCCAGAAGGTGCCAAAATACAAAAACTAAAAACACAAAACCCGGTCTATAACGAATGAGCCACAATTTAGTCAAAAATAAAGCGAATGATTAAGTTAGTTGCAGCGATTCTGCGCTCGACTTTGTAGTAGCCGCTAGCTGCGGGATTATATAATCGAAAGCAGATGGGTTGCTCGATAGACAGCACAGGAAATAAATAAATGTCATTTGATAAGCGATTGAAAAGCCATTTGAATTAATGGATGTGCCACAATTTTGATTTAAAACAAATCCAAATGCATAAATTCAGGTATTTGAGATTTCATTAAGCTGAAATCCCCCACCCAACCCCTCTTTGTTAGTGAATGCAGTTTGTTAAAATAAAAAATGGGTATTTGCTGTTACAAATGTAATACATTTAGATTTATAAGCAGAGCTCTTAAATGTGAAGTTATTTGAATGAATTTTTATTAAACAAAGGTGAGCTTTTAAATGGAAACTTTATTAATAGAAATACAGCTCCAAAGAAAGAGTGTGAAACATCTATAACGATAATTTTATCAATATTGCCTTCATTCATATATTGAATTAAATCCGATTTAAAATATGCTCAAGTATAATTAAGATCTCTTAGTCAAATCCAAAATTTTACAAACATCGGACGGGCAGACAGCGGAACATGGCTAGATCGACTCGGCTATTGGTGCTGCTCAAGAATAAATATAGTTTACGTAGTTAAAGGTAATATCTTCTGCCTGCTACATACATTTACACAAAAATAATCTTTACCAATTTTCAATGAGTTCAACTTTTTTCAAAATTAATCACAGACCTATTGATAAATTATTATAAACTGTTCAATTATTTGCCTAAAATTAATAAAACTCCTTTAAACTTTCAAGTTTTTATAGTAATTATATTTATAGAATATTATGTTATAGAAATTATATTATATTTCTATATTTAACTAAATTCCAAGCGCTTAATTAACTACAGTTTACATGGTCGATTATCGTTTCTCAACATTAATAAACACATTAAGTGGCATTTTTCATGCTTTCTTCTGCTTAATTCTCATTTATCTTGGTTTTAAAAATAGACAATGGAAAATTCCAGTGCTTAAATCTATGTTTTTTCTTTATTTTTGGCATCTGCAGTTCACATATCGCTCGAGCTGCTGATGATCCATCATCGCGATGAAATTTCGTTTTATTATTTATGATTTATTTTATTTTTCTTTGCACACTTTTTTGACGAACGCTGTGCAAATATTTTGCAGCGGGCAGCTACTACACGATAGATCGCTAATAACAACGGCATAATTAGTGACAAGTGTGTGAATTTGAATTTCTCAGATAATGCCAATCAACGCCAGCTAGCCGCGTGAAAGGCGATGCCGTCGAAGGCGTGGCATTGTCAAAAGCTACATTCTGTGGGCGTTAAGACAATCAATTGAAGGCAAAAAGCCAACCCAAAAAAAAAGCAAGAAGCCAATATCTTTTTGACATGTGAATTTTGTTGCGAATCTGCAGGTGTAAAACGTGAGATACAAGATAAAAGGTCTCTGGCCAGGGGCAAATCGTAACATTTGTTAACAGCCAAAAGAAAAAAAATCGCCTGCCGTATGCTTGGCAGTTTTTTTTTTTGCTACTTTTATTTTAACTGTGGGTATTCCTTGTTTCTTGTCTGGTTTTGCTGCTGATTAGGTCTGTCAAAATTTGTTTTCATCGCTGCCGCCGTTGAAAACGAAAGTTCAAACGGATTGAATGAGTGGGTCTGAAAAATATTTGGAATCTTGGCAATGCTGAAAACTAATTAATCACTTTGGAGCTGACGACGCCCTTGTGATTAATTGCCAGCTAAATTAAGTTAACATATTTTGCCAACCAATTTCATGATCTGACAGTCAAATCATCATCATTATCCGACTTTGAACTCTACTTTCTACATTTTATCCAGCAAGTAGCTTAACAGCCAGCCAAGTTGAACACACTAACCCGGCCGAGAGATTCAATGGAATTCGATTCCCAGTCAGCAACCGTAGCTACCGTAGCTACTAAGAGATATGCAACAATACAATACATAAAACAACAATAATTTCACTTTTAGCATCTGGCAGTTATGTTTATTTTCAACACAAACGAAAACTAAATCAACAAAATACTATAAGTAAAATATATTTAAAGAAACGCAACAGATTCAATACCCTTTAGCTTGATTTAAATTAAACAAAATTTACTTATTTTTGTTGAATATTTATGTTATATTTATATATTATATATCTTTTTATACTATTAATAATGATGGTTTTAGGTAAATGTTTATTTATTTCTCGCATAGGTTTTCACTTCTTTAAGACTAGTTGAATTGAATATTCAGCGATCACTTTGCAGCTAAATTTTCTGTTCCCTTAGAAGTCCTTAGAAAATGGCAGTCAGATTGAAAAGGCAGGTTCGCTATTTGAACCTTTGGCTTTTGGAATAAGTGTTGAAGTCTTATTCTCAAGCCAGGGCTCTTCAAGAGTTGGAATAAATACATAAGCTGTATTCACGATGACAATAATAACATTTTTTTTAAAAGTATTTAAAATTCGTTAGAAACAATAATAATTTTATTGATTCAATTTAAATTTGTTTTAAAAATAATTTGCAAATTCTTTTTTTGTCTGTGGCAAACATCATGTGAAAGTTGTGATAGCTTAAGCAAGGGCATAACAAGAAAAGAAACTACAGCAACGGCGCATTAGAAATGAAAGTGAGCAGCAACAAGTACAAATACCACGCACACACACGCACACACACTCACTATCATAGTTAACTAACTAATGTATGACACGTTAACAAAATGCAAACATAACGAGCTTCGAATTGAGCATCGGCCACCGTCCGCCCCGGTGGCTGTTAGAAAAAGCCGCAAACAACAAATCGCCGACAATTTCGGTTAGCACGTGTCAATGGCCCGGAAAGGGTCCGTCTCTGGCTGCGGTTGCGGCTACGGTTGGAACCAACGTTAATCCCCTTGCCTCTGACCGCGGGCAACACATATGATTTAATTTGCTTTGCAGCGCACTTAAAATTAATTACGCAAATGTTATTCAATAGGGTCCGCGGGGCAATAGTCGTAGAAATGGGCGAAACTTTTGCATGAGCTTCGCTATTGTTGTTGTTGTGTGTTATTGCTGTTGTCGTGCCTTTAACAAATTGCACTATTATTTCATTTGTATTTGGCAATTTATTTTAATTTCATTTGCGCAACAACTTTCGTCTTCATTGCCTTTTCCAATGCTATTTGCGCTTTTCCCCCTCGTCCGCATCTCGCGCATATTTTTGCACCTTTCACAGAATCTTTTTTCTCGCCTCATTTTATTTACTTCCGTCTCGGACAGAGCGTTATTTCTTTGGCTCTTACAATGTAATCATCTTCTATATATATACAATTTATTATTATTATTTGTTTATATTGTTCGGCCATTTAATTGGCGAAAATTGAAAAGGGAAAATATTTGTCTGTACACTTGGTGTAGGTGTCTCGGCTCAGGCAATTAATTAGAAAGCGAAACTTTAATTTATTTAACACAAAAAAAAACTGCACAAAACACTCGTTAGTGTCCAAAAGAAAATGCATAAATACTTGTCCAAGTTTTTGCTTCTTTGATTACATCCATTTCCAAGTGATAAATGTTGGGCGGGAAAACATTTGCGGCTGCCTTCGCTTCACTTTTGAGTGGGTCACAAGTTTTTATTGAACAAACATAAAGCCATCTTTTAAGAGATCTTACGTGCTTTTTATTATCTTAAGGCTGAACTGAACAAAGTTTTTTTCAAATTTTATTTTCTATATTCTATTCCTTTTTTATTCATTTTACAACTTTTTTTTTTTGGAATAATTACATTCTGAGATTTAGTTTTAGATGTTAGTTTGCTTCTTTTTTTATTTTTTTTTTTTTTAATATTTACCTAAAAGACAGCAATGTTG